ACTTGTTGGTCTCTCTCACGTTCTTAATTAGAAGTCCAGAGAGCTTTTGTTTATGTAGAATGTATTTGTTGATCTTTAATCTATTAGAAATTAAAACTAAGGTATTAAAAATGTATGTATATTCCATGTAGAAGTATAGTAAAAAAAAAAAAACCCATCATGTTAGCATAAATAATACATTTTTATAAAAACTGTTTTCTAAAACAATAGAAATTTAGTGAGAAGAATGGCATATTTTACATTTTGCCAATCTCCCCACTGTATTAGTAGACAATTGGATTCTCCTGTTTTCTTTTTTCAGCCTGTTGCAGTATGTTTTTTTTTGTTCAAGTAGCTGAAGAAGATTCATCTTGAGAAGGAGAGGTAGTTAGAAAAGGGAGTATTTTAATAACCTTTTCAGTAATTGTGGATATTTTTCTTTGATATTATACCAGAACTGGACAAGTGGTGAGTTTCTTAAAAATTTCATTCTGTTCAGTCGCTCAGTTGTGTCCGACTCTTTGCGACCCCATGGACTACAGCAGGCCAGGCCTCCCTGTCCATCACCAACTCCTGGAGTTTACCCAAAATCATCTCCATTGAGTCAGTGATGCCATCCAACCATCTTATCCTCTGTTTTCTCCTTCTCCTCCTGTCCTCAAACTTTCCCAGCATCAGGGTCTTTTCCAATGAGTCAGCTCTTCACATCAGGTGGCCAAAGTATTGGAGTTTCAGCTTCAACATCAGTCCTTCCAATGAACACGCAGGACTGATATCCTTCAGGATGGACTGGTTGGATCTCTTTGCAGTCCAAGGACTCTCAAGAGTCTTCTCCAACACCACAGTTCAAAAGCATCAATTCTTCGGCGCTTAGCTTTCTTTATAGTCCAACTCTCAGATCCATACATGACTACTGGAAAAACCATAACCTTGACTAGATGGACCTTTGTTGGCAAAGTAATGTCTCTGCTTTTTAATATGCTATCTAGGTTGGTCATAACTTTTCTTCCAAGGAGCAAGTGTCTTTTAATTTCATTGCTTCAGTCACCATCTGCAGTGATTTTGGAGCACCCCCAAAATAAAGTCTGCCACTGTTTCCATTGTTTCCCCATTTATTTGCCATGAAGTGATGGGACCGGATGCCATGATCTTAGTTGGTATAACTTTTCTTCCAAGGAGCAAGCGTCTTTTAATTTCATGGCTGCAGTCACCATCTGCAGTGATTTTGGAGCCCAAAAAATAAAGTCTGCCACTGTTTCCCCATCTATTTGCCATGAAGTGATGGGGCTGGATGCCATGATCTTAGTTTTCTGAATGCTGAGCTTTAAGCCAACTTTTTCACTCTCCTCTTTCACTTTCATCAAGAGGTTCTTCAGTTCTTCTTCATTTTCTGCCATAAGGGTGGTGTCATCTGCATATCTGAGGTTATTAATATTTCTCCTAGCAGTCTTGATTCTAGCTTGTGCTTCATCTAGCCCAGCGTTTCTCATGATGTACTCTGTATATAAGTTAAATAAGCAGGGTGACAATATACAGCCTTGACGTACTCCTTTTCCTATTTGGAACCAGTTTGTTGATTAGCTGAGAGTTAAAGTTCTGACCTGTATCAATGGACCTTTTGGATATTAAAGTCTGTTGATTTGGTCTGTTCTAGACCTATTGTATTCTGATCTGTTCTGCTCCTAGATCTTAAGCCTGCGCATGGTTTTGTAACATCTTGCCTTTGTGACATCATGAGTTTCTCAGCTATGCTGAATTATGCCGATCTTCTAAATGTTGATTTTTCCATTAGACAGTATTTTAACAGTCACATCTGTTAATATCACCACTGATTTCATCAGAGGAGCCTTTATGTATCAGGAAGCCAGCAAGTTTACAGTGAAGGATGCTGCTTTTCTACCATTCTCCTTTTCCCTTGACAGGTGGAATTTTATCATAGACAACAAATACTGTCATTGTTTTCCTTTAGGTGACAAGGTTGCTTTGTTCAGTTTTGAGAAAGTGTTTGCCAAAAATGCAAGTCTGAATAATCAGCCAGTTGCACAAGTGTTTTTCTTTGAGAGAGCTCTGCTACTTCATTATGTAGTGGAAGTGCTTCATAGGTTTCATTTCCTTTCATTTCATCATACCAAATATTAAAGGGCCATGTACTTAAGGGTTAAGATTTAGTAAAATTGTACTTTATCAAGACATCTTCAGAGAAACTGGCCTTTTTATTTTCTGGCAAGAGTGTGGTGGTGAGGAATTCAAGTGACTACTGATATGTCAACAATATTTATGCCAAGGTTCTAGGAGGTTTTTTCACCATAGCTTTTGTACCATCAGTGCAAATCTGAGCATAGTGAAAAGGGCAGTGGGGTGGGGCACATGACGTCTTAGTATTGGGTTGGCCAAAAAAATTTGTTCAGTTAGTGAATATGTTTTCTAATAAAGTTCTTGGTGAAAATGAAAAATGTCTTTTATTTTTATGCAAAATCAGATGAACTTTCATAACACTGCCCTAGCTCATTAGCAGTAACCATAATAATACCTCAATAATTCCTCCACACAGGTATTTAGCACCTCATAGTTCCACAGCTCACTCAGGCAGTGATCATCAATGATGCTCTACCCTGACAAGGAAGTTTAATGGTGAACAATGGAAAGATCAGGTTCCCACACACCTGAACCCATTGCTCAAGCCTGGCACCAGTAAAACATCAAGGAAGTACACAGCAAACCACTGTGTATTATGTGTAAAAATTCAGCTCAACGTTATGAAAATGAATTTGACCTGTGCAGTCTCTGGAAGGGTCTTAGGGACCCCCAGAAGTCTACATTTTGGGAATGGATGTTCTAGGTTTAAGGCTTTGGTAGCTATGTTCACTGGAATTGAGACATGGTAATAAAAGATACCATAGTTAAAGGTCGGACCATGGTCTGTGGCCTGGGGAGTCCTGTTACTTTCTTCCTATATACCAGCTCTTTCTGAGAGGCTACCAGACCATGTTGTCAATTCATTTATTTGAAATAAGACCAGTACGTTCTATTATACATAGTCAAAAGGAACAATTTGTGATGCTGAAATGCATTTTGGGTGCGAAAAATTGTAACGTAGAATACTGGATCAGCACAAAGGATTTGAGGACCAGAGGTCTTAGTCCTGTCTTTGTTATTCACGAGGCTTACTGAGTTCTGGGAATGTCACCTGACTTTTCTAATTCTCAGATTTCACACCTCTCCAGTGGGATTAATTTTATTTGCATCCACCTTTTCCAGAGTAATTTTGATGTTCAGATGATGCCATCAGTTTCTTACCCTGGGTAACGTCGTCTTCTTTATATCTGTAAAGTTGTGCTTGGGGTGCATCAGATAAGTCAGTAAATATTTATTGAGTTAATGAATGGACTTAGAAAAAGCTGTTAATTATAAGCCGTTAGTTTTTAATATATACACAAATAGAGTTGTATAATGAACTCCTATCTACCTTTCTCCCAACACATGTAACTCTAGAAAATAAGAACATGTCTTTATAGAACTAAGATCACACTCAACAAAATTAAAATTGGGTCCTTAATACCATGAAATACTCTTCTTACATTCAAATATCCCCTGTTGAATTAAAGTGCAAACATATATATGTTTTCACAGTTGGTTTGTTCAAGTCAAGTCCACACAAGAATCCTCTCATTGCATTTATTATGACTCTTGGTTTTCTTTTAGTGAAAACATTTTCTTTTCCCTCAGGTCCCCCACTTTTTAAATTTGTCAACTTGTTGGAGAAACTGGGGCTACTTTTATGAAATGTGTTAGTGTTTGATTGCTTTCCTGTGGTGTTTGAGCTTTTTCCTGTCTCCTTTACGTTTCTAGGAAGTTGTATGATCAGAGACTGATTTGGATTTTTGGGGAGGACATATTTAAGTGGCTTGCAGTGTACTTCCTTGATGTTTTACTGGTGCCAGGCTTGAGCAGTGGGTTCAAGTGTGGCAACCTGATCTTTCTGTTGTTCACTATCAAACTTCCCTGCCAGGGTATAGCATCACTGATGATTACTGCCTGAGTGAGCTTTGGAATTGTGAGGTGCTAAATATGAGGTATTATTGAGGTATTGTTATGGTTACTCCTTATGAAGTAGGGCGGTATCTTGATTTGAACTAAGTCATCATTGAAATAGTATCTAAGAGGCAGAACTGCAGATAGTAACAAACTTGCAAATGAGGAACTGTATTTTTTTACATTATAACTGACATAAAATATGACCTTCAGGTGTTCAACATAGTGATTTGATAGTTTTATACATTATGAAATGATCCAAGGTACTGCATTTTTAACAGGATAATTTTATGTATAGCTTAGAAAGAGCTAACCTTTTTTCCCTGCCACAGTAGGCTGAGTTTGTCTCTTAACATCATGTCATTTTAAAACCAAATACCTTTGAACCATCTTTGTACTAGAGAAGCTCTCCTAAACCATCCTATGTCCAGATTATTTTTAAAAATTGGTTAATACATATACAGTTAGCTGATCATTATAATAAGATTCCAGATGACAAAAAAGAATGGGGACACATCCTTGGAGCTCTCTTGGTAATGAGATTTAAAATGTCAGCTGAAGCTACCATAATTTTTGTTTGATTGGGTCTGTTAGGAGAAAAGAATTAAAGGATCACATTTTATGTGGTTCATAATGAATCCATTTGTAGAAATTAAATTAAAACACCAGGAAATTAAATCAAAACAATGTTAACATTTGGTAAATGGGGTTGGTTCCTTCTGTGTGCTTTTGGGTAATGTCAGTTAAAATGATGCTGCAAGAGAAATGTCTTCATGTTTAGACCAGGGTGGAGGACAGGTGGTATGTTCAGGAAATCACTATAATCTCTGTGGGACCTAAAAAACTTTATAGTTCTTGAAAAACTTTCAAGATTGTTGATCAAGAGACATGAAATTTGAACTTCTTTCTTTAGTAGGAAGAAACTTACTTGTATCTTAATAGGAAAGTTAAAACTTCTGTTATTATTAACTTACTTCTTTCTTCAATAGGAAAATAAAAAATATTTCAAGCGTAGTGAACTTGCAAAAAAAGAAGAGGAAGCATATTTTGAAAGATGTGGCTACAAGGTATGAATGCCTGCTTTTATGTTAAATTATATATTTCTGAGTTTAAATTTATACAGCCGTTGTTAAAGTAACAAAACAATTGATCTTTGTTCAATTTATCAATGTTATACATTAGCCTGTAAATGAGAAGCCATCTGGAGAGGTATGATTTTGTTTTTCTTTTTTTTCTTTTAATCTTGAATTCAGGAAAATACATGCATGACCTTTGGCTTGGAATGGTTTGGCTTTTTGTGGACAGCATGAAGTGGCTTGAGATCAAAGCTTGAATTTTTTTTCTTTTAATTAAGTCCTGGATCTGATACTACCTCATTTTCATCACTACCACCACTCCTTCCCCCGCCTCTCCCAATAAAAGTCCATTTGTAAAGGGTTCAAAACATTTTATTCATTCAGCAGCAGTGGTAGCAGCAGTGGTATTTCCCCTGCTTTCTCTGGAATATTTTAAGCCACTGTTTTATGTTTGCAATGTGAATAATCCCTTCTGGCCTGAGATATAGCCATTTTATATGATAAGGTATCACATTTCAAACACTGCTCAGCCTATTGGATAGAAAATGTGATCTTGCAATATTAGAAATAAATGAGTTGTCTAGAAAACTTTGAATACTTTAGAAACATGACTGAAATTATCTTTGCGATTACCTAGTTAATAATGTATTGGGGTTTTTATTGGGAGGGGTTAAAGGTTACGAGGTGAAGTTGTGTTTAATTTATTTTAAAAGATAACTGTATCTAGTCTAATTTTTTAAACAAAGTTTAGCGGTTCTATTGAAATACTTTTGACAAATCATAAATTTGAAATCGACTCTGCTTGTGAAACATCGATTATACAATAATACTCTTGTGCATGTAATGGGGGAAGTTCTGGAAATTAATTTTATCTGGCATAGCATTTCTAGAAGAAAGCATGAAGAATGCAAATGGTATGTATATGGATTTGCTTTCATTTTGTACTCTTGGGAGAGGGTAGGTGTTAAAACTGTAGTTGTATTTCTGATAGGTTTTTAAAATATGAAAGTTTACATTGGTATTTTGATACTTCTCTTAAGTATGTTGATTGCATTTGCTTCTAGTGTAGGGAATTAAGATATGTTTTAAAACCATCTAAATATTGAATAGATAGTCAGAAGGGATTTCCATTATTTGATTGCCTTAGCGTTGTCTAACTCACACTTAAAGTAAAATAAGAATCATTTACCCTGGGCTTAGTCCACTGACTTGGTTGCCTTCCCATATCCTTAGATTTGAACCTTTTTAACTTTTTGATAAAGTAGGAAAATAAACAGTGACAGTTTTCCTTTGGTTAGATTGCTCTTGCTATAACAGCAGTCCTTTCTTGCCAGTATAGAGGAAAGCACTGAAGCAAAATCATTGCTGTAAAGATACCGCTTGTAACGTTGAGTCCAGCTGACAGAATGTCTTAGGTCTTTTCCTTAAGGCTACTCACTGCCATTTTATAATTGAAAATGCTTTTCATCCTGAGATTTTGGGAGAAATACCTGTTTTTATGCTTAAAAAGAAAGCACAGGGTTTTCTTTCTAAAGCATATTTAATGGTTCCTTGTTGGTAGTAGTGAAAATACAGCATGTTACTTTTATTCTCTTATAAAAACTAGTTACCTTTTATTGAGGCTTGATGCTGCTTTGGTTTGTGAAAATGGCGAAAGTTTAGTTTTTTACTTACATTTTCTGTTATCACTATTAACACTGATTAATATAACCTTTAACCTACAGTGTGGGCTCATCAAGTATAAAATTGTAACCATACAGCCTTTCTTAACTGAATGGTTTCCCTTAATGTTGATCTTCTTGGATTTTTTTTTTTTTGGATCTTCTTTTGACATATTAGATTTGTCTTAGGGTCAACTGGAAAACCACGTTTCAGTATCTTTTTACAGATCACGCAGTGGGGCTATAAATTGCTGAACTCAATTTCCCTAAACTGTGGCTTGGGAAGCTGACTCAAAAAAATATTAGAAGAGTTTTTTCCCTGCAGGTTCATATGAACAACAATGTCCAGTCTGATCTCTGTGTGCTATGAGTAGAGAGTGGCTGGTTTTCATTATTTTCCTTCATGGCTCAGTTCATGGACGAGTTCTGTGGAGCATTGGGAAGTTTTTTTAGACATCCAGCAATGAGTCCTGTGCACTTGGAATATACCTTTCAAAAATCAGGATAGGAAAGAGCTTGAGACTTCACAGGTTTTTTGTTATCAAGCAGTTCTTTTTTCTTTGGTCTTCATTTTAAATCTAGAGCAAGGATCAAATAACCCTGTAAGATGATTTTTCTCAAAGAGGAGAAGCAAGCTGATTGTTTCCAAGAAGAAAGTAAAAATCTTGGAGTCTAGGGAGAAAATGAGTCTAGATTTCAACCTTTAAGTTTTTTATTGTGGAAACCATTTTATTGATAACTTCTGTCGCTCTTCTGTAGTAAGAGTGCTTCCAGGGTGCACGCTCTCTCCTTGGGTGTCCCTATGCTCTGGCAAGCATGCACATCAGTTATGAGCTGTTTGCGCAGAGGAACACTTAGAAAACCTTCAGTATGTTAAACATGTTTCATTTCAGTGGATGCCTAATATATAGAATGGTACATGTTAAAATAAACCATATTGTATTTTAAAAGGAGAATTTCATTTCTTTTGGCTATTAATGTAGATACAGCCAAAAGATGAGGACCAGAAACCATTAACTTCATCGAATCCAGTATTAGAACTTGAACTGGCAGAGGAAAAATTACCCATGACTCTTTCTAGACAAGAGGTAAGTTTTATATATGAGTGCTTTGTTTAAAAAAAAAAAGAAAAGAATCTCCACAGGATTGCATTTATCTCTAGTTCTAATAACTTTTATGTCATCATTTCCCATATAAAATGACTTACCTGACCAGCATAGTATTATAGTTCAGTTTTCTTTGCTGCTGCTGCTGCTAAGTCGCTTCAGTCATGTCCGACTCTGTGCGACCCCATAGATGGCAGCCCACCAGGTCCCCTGTCGGTGGGATTCTCCAGGCAAGAACACTGGAGTGGGTTGCCATTTCCTTCTCCAATGCATGAAAGTGAAAAGTGAAAGGGAAGTCGCTCGGTCATGTCAGACTCTTGGTGACCTCATGGACTACAGCCTACCAGGCTCCTCCGTCCATGGGATTGTCCAGGCAAGAGTACTGGAGTGGGGTGCCATTGCCTTCTCCGTCAGTTTTCTTTACGAGGTTCTAAATTTTTGCTTTTCTTGGTACTGTTGTCTTAAATAGTTTAAAGAATATCTTATGTCTTAAATTTTTTAAAGAATATATCCTTCTAAACTTTAAAAACTAAACACATTCTAAATTAAGTATAATTAAATGCATATATTTGGAATAATTATATTTAGATAATTTGTCAAAGTTATTTAAAATAATATCATTTATGTATTAAGAGAAAGTAAGTTATAAAATGGTAACTTTTGTTGTGGGTTGTTCAGTTGCTAAGTCTGTGTCCAACTCTTTGCAACCCCACGGACTGTATCCCTCCAGGCTTCTCTGTCCTCCACTGTCTCCCAAGTTTGCTCAGATTCGTATCTTTTGGGTCGGTGATGCTATCAAACCATCTCATCCTCTGCTGCCCTCTTCTCCATTTGTCCTCAATTTTTCCCAGCATCAGCATCTTTTCCAGCGAGTTGGCTCTTCACATCAGGTGGCCAAAGTATTGGAGCTTCAGCTTCAGCATCAGTCCTTCCAGTGAATATTCAGGACTGATTTCCTTTTACTTTCTCTTAATACATCTTTTTAAGTCAAAATATAGAATCTATATAATTTTATAACTGCATAATTTCCCATAATATTTTAGAATACTACTTTATTTTTAAAACCAATTCTTTGTTAATCACCATTCAGATTGCCTCAGCATTTCCCTTTTATAGGTTATACTGAGATGAACATCCTTATACAGATGTCATTGCATGTGTAATAATTTATGATTAGTTTCCTTTGGAAAATTTTCTAGAAACATGATTTCTGGAGTCTACTAAAGCCTATATATTAATACATGTTTAACACTTTGGATATAAATTACCAGAGAGCTCTGTAAACACATTCCACCAGTTCATACTCTAGCCTATAGGCTTTGTTCATACCCTGGTCAATATCAACTATTATTTTCCTTCAACAGCAGCAAAATTTTAAGATACTCATGTGAAAAAAGAGTTAAGATTATATACACAGGTACACAATGAACTTTGAGCAAAATGAAACTTTCAGAGGAAAGGAGGGCTGACTCCAGAAGCTGTCATGTGAAAAGTAGATGAAGGACTTTTGAATACTTGGCCTGAAGAGAAGAATATTAGAGATTTTTGAAAACAGATCTGTTGACCACAGCTCTAATTTTGAAAAAACATTGAGTATTCTGTCTTTTCATAAAGCTGAGATAATTGAAAGAGGTAGATTTTTGTTTATTTTGAGAAGCATAGTATAACTGTCCAAAGATGAGGTGGGCTGCTCCATGAAGAGGTGTGATTCCTGTCATTCGTCAGACATTGGCCTTCAAGAATCTGTTTTTGAGGTCATTTCTGCATTGATTGGAGATAGCACTAGACGACCTTTAAGTTTTAGTTTCAGTTAATCCAGTGGAAGCCTTGCCAGTGGTTTCTAAGTGTGATACTATTTCAGTTCCCAGATTAAGTTCTTGGTAATTTTTTTCTAATTACAGCTTATTTTCTTAATTATAATTTTTATTAGTCCTTTTTATGAAATACAGCATGTATACAGAGTGTGTGTAAAATGTGCAATATAGTAGATAATTGCAAAACAAAACAGACACTCATACAGCCATCACCAAAGTCAAGGAGAAATATTATCAGCATCAGCCCTCCAGAAGCCCTGCATGTGCCCCCCTCCACCCATTTGTGACTCTCTTTATTGTCTAAGGGACTCGTTTTGGGTTTTAATTTGGTATTGCAGTGCTGACCCTTGCCTGTCTCTGGTCATTGGCTTATCAACTGATACCAGACTTGTTTTTTCCTCTGTATGAATGTTATCACTCCTTCCCATCTTAATGGTTTTCTTAAGTTGCCTACTATACAGATTGGTCCTTTCTGTAACACTCATCAAATGACCTAAACCATTAGGGTTATTTAAGGTGTGACAGTAATTCAGTATATCTGTTTGTGGAAAACTAAAGAAAGAACAAATAGAACTTACTTTCGCATCTAATTTTCAAAATAAGTGTTTAGTCTTCTAAAATTGGAATTACTATTGTTTCTTTCTTTCTTTTTTTTTAATAGGTTATCAGAAGATTGAGAGAAAGAGGAGAACCAATCAGACTCTTTGGAGAAACAGATTATGATGCTTTTCAACGTTTAAGAAAAATAGAGATCCTCACACCGGAAGTTAACAAGGTAAAAAGAACAAAGCTAGAATATCATTGTACCACATAGCTCAGAATACTGCAGACTTTGACAGACTTCAAATAATTGCATTATTATAAGGAAAAAAGGAAAAATGAAGTTGCCAGATACTGCTGCTGAATGTAAATTTTCTTTTAAAAGGCACACATCTTGAGCATGTGGTTCAGTGCATTTTGAAAATGCTTGCAAGTGTGTGGCGACTACCCTTATGAAGATATGGAGTATTTTCATCACATGCACATGAAAACTCCCCAGCATCCTTTCTTGGCCAGTACCTGGATTCTTTCTCCTCCACTCCTGGGCAACTACCGTTTAAAATTCTGTCACCAAAAAACCATCCATGAACTTTACTTGTATTAGTATTTCACTTGGTAGAATCACAGAGGATATGTCTGGCTTCTTTTGCTCAGTGTAAGATTTTGTGGATTCATCCATGTTGTTGTGGATGTTGGTAACTTGTTCCTTTTCATTGCTGATGATATTCAGTAATATGAATTTATCACCATATGTTTCTAGCCTTGGGCTGTTATGAATAAAACTGCTGTGAATGGTTTTACACAAATCTATTTTGGCTCTATGTTATTTCTCCTAGGTTAAATACATTTTTATCTCTCTGGAAGTGGAATTGCTGAATAGTAACAGTAAATGTATAGTCAACTTTTTAAGAAATGCCAGATATTGCCAGTGTTGTCTCATTAGTGTTTGTTACTGTTAGTCTTTTAAATTTTAACCATTCTCTTGTTTGTGTGGTAGTATCTCATGTGGTTCTAGTCACAGTTCCCTGACAACTAAAGATTATGAGCCTCTTTTTATAGACTTGTCAGCCTCATCTTTCTCTGTGCACTGTGTCTTTTGCTCATGTTTCAGTTGGGTTGTCTTTTTGTTTTTGAATTATAGGAGTTCTTTATGTATAACCTGGATTCTTCGTTAGATATACAAATTCATGTTTTGTATCTATTTTTTCCTAGGCGTTACCTATTTTCTTAACGGTGTCTTTTCATGGGTAGGACTTTTGAATTTTGACAAAGTTTACTTTATAATTACTGCTTATGGTGTTTCGCTTAAGAAAACTTTGCCTACCCTAAGATCTTAAAGAGATGGTATTTTCTATATTTTCTTCTGAAACTTTAATAGTTTCAGCTTTACTTTTAGGACTCTGATCTTGTTTTATGGCTCAGCTTATAATCCATCTTGGTGAATATTCCATGGGCTCTTGAAAAGAGCTTTTGAAATGTCAGTTACCGTTGTGTTTAGATCTTTTGTGGTCTTATTATTTACTTGCTCTTTCAGTTACTGAGAGAGACAGATGTAGTTATATGTAGTTGTGTAACAAACCACCCCAAAACTTACACCTTAAAACAATTCATTATCATAAAATCTTTCTCAGTTATTTGTGATGGTAACAAACCACCCTGAAACCTTGTATCCTAAGATAGTTTATCATTCTCCATCATGTTCTGTGGTTCGACTGGGTTAAGCTGGGTAGTGTTTTGGTTGGGATCTCACCTGTGATACAGTCAGGTGAGGGTTGCAGCTGAGGTCACCTGAAGGCTCCCTAGTCTGGCCTTCTTACTAGGCATGCTGCCTTAAAGGTGCAGCTTTGTTGTAGCAGAGGTCAGCGTTTCCTGCCCTTTTAAAGCTAATATCTCATTGTATGTGTGGACACCATTTTGTTAATCCATTCATCCTTGTTGGACAGGTAGGTTGCTTCTGCCTTTTGGGCTATTGTGAATAATGCTGCTGTGGACACAGGTATATAAATATGTGTTCAAGTTCCTTGCTTTCTCTTCTTTTACATATATTCCTAGAGGTGGAATTGCTGAATTGTATGGTGATTCTGTGTTTAACTTCTTTTTAAAAGCATAAATGAATTTAAAACATTTTCTTCATTTATATTGTTAATGTGCACAGCAGTTTGTTTTTATTTTCAGTCCTATCTAAAGTTTCCTAACCTAAATCCTTGGAAGGAGCTAAGTGGTTTTGTAATGCCTCATTTCACCAGTATTTGTTCCTCTTCTATATCCCGAGTCACTTTCCTTATCAAAAGAGTCTAAATTGCTAACGTGCACTATTGTTTTTGTTACCCAGTTTAATTTTTCTGCTTCTCATGTCTCATTACTTGAGAAATTTTCTAGCTTTTAATATTAACTCACTACAACCTGCTGTCTTCCGATCTTATTAAGTACTAGAATTTATTTGCACTTTTTAAAGTTGCGGTATAACTGACATATAACATATTCTGAGTGTACAACATAATGACTTGATATTTGTATATATTGCAAAATGATCACCACAGTAAACCTAATAGTCATCACTGTATGTAGTTACAAAAATTTTTTTCTTGTGATGAAGACTTTTTAAAAAATCTACTTTCTGAGTAACTTTGAAATGTGCAGTGCAGTATTTTTAGTCACCATGCTGTACATTATATCCATGTGAGTTATTTATTTCATAACTGGAACTGTCTAAAAGTTAGTAACTTAAGTTTGAACACATTCTGAAGCTCAACACTTTTCCTCCTCTCCTTTCACATTTTTTCCTGATACCACATTTTGCATCTTTTTGTATTGTGTAGCCCTTAACTAATTACTGCACTTATGGTTATTTTTACTACTTTTGTCTTTTACTCTTCATACTGGCTTTATAAGTGATTAATTTACCACCTGTACTATACATTTACTTTTATCATTGAGATTTAATACTTTCATATGTTTTCTTGCCAGCTGAAAGAAGTCCATTTAACATTTCTTACAAGGATAGTTTAGTGGTTAGGAACTCTCTTAGCTTTTGCTGGTCTGAAAACTCTTGCTCTTTCAATTCTGAATGATAACTTTGCTGGGTAACATGTTCTTGGAAGTTTTTTCTTTTAGCACTTCAGATATATTGTGCCACTCCCTCCTGGCCTGCAAAGTTTCTGCTAAAAAATATCCTGATACTCTTATTGGGGGGTGGTTCTTTATTCAAAGCAAGTTGTTTTTCTCCTGCTGCTTTTAAGATTCTTTCCTTTGTATAACTTTTTTTTTTAAAAGTATAGTGTAATTGATTTATAATACTGTGTTAACTTCAGGTAGAGAGCATAGTGACTAAGTATCTTTTGCAGATTGTACTCCATTATAGGTTATTACACAATAGTGGGTATAATTTTCCTTGCTATACAGCATCCTTATTGCCTTTCTATTCAAATGTAGTTTGTATATCTGGTACCCCTAATTTGTCGCTCTCCCCTTTCTTTTTCTCACTGGTAACCACAATTTGTTTTCTGTATCTGTGAGTGTCTCTGTTTTGCATATACACTCATTTCTATTATTTTTTAGATTCTACATAAGTGATATCATACAGTATTTGTTTTTCTCAGTCTAACTTATTTCACAAGACACAATAGTCTCAGATCTATCCGTGTTGTTACAAGTGCCAGAAGCCCATTCTTTATTATGGCTGAGTAGTATTCCTGTGTGTGTGTGTGTGTGTGTGTGTGAGAGAGAGAGAGAGAAAGACAGACAGACAGACAGACAGACATGCATACATGTTCTTAATCAGTTGTCTGTGGGGCACTCGGGCGGCTTCCATGTCTTGGTTATTGTAACCAGTGCTGCTATGAACTTAGGGGCGCATGTATCTTCATATTTTTGTTTTTTCTGGATGCATACACAGGAGTGCAATTGCTGTGTCATATGGTGGTTCTATTTTTAGTTTTTTAAGGAACCATCCTACTATTTTCCAATAGTGGCTATATCAGTTTTCATTCCCACCACTAGTGTACAAGGGTTCCCTTTATATCCTCTTCGGCGTTTGCTGTTTGTAGGCTTTTTAATGATGGCTGTTCTGACTTGTGTGAGGTGATACCTCATTGTGGTTTTGATTTGCATTTCTCTGGTAATTAGTGGTCTGTCTAGTCAAAGCTATGGCTATGGTTTTTCCAGTAGTCCTGTATGGATGTGAGAGTTGGAATATAAAGAAAGCTGACTGCTAAAGAATTGATGCTTTTGAACTGTGGTGTTGGAGAAGACTCTTGAGAGTCCCTTGGACTGAAAGGAGATCCAGTTAGTCCATCCTGAAGGAAATCAGTCCTGAATATTCATTGGAAGGACTGATGCTGAAGCTGAAGCTCCAATACTTTGGCCACTTGATGTGAAGAACTGACTTATTTGAAAAGACCCTGATGATGGGAAAGATTGAAGGCAGGAGGAGAAGGGGACAACAGAGGATGAGATGGCTGGATGGCATCACCGACTCGATGGACATGAGTTTGAGCATGTTCTGGGAGTTGGTGATGGACAGGGAAGCCTGGTGTGCTGCAGTTTATGGGGTTGCAAAGAGTTGGACATGACTGAGTGACTGAAATGAATAATTAGTAATGTAGAGCATCTTTTCATGTGCCCACTAGCCATATGTATGTCTTCTCTGAGAAGTGTCTTTTCGTGTCTTCTGACTGTTTTTGGATTGGGTGGTTTTTTGATATTGAGTTGTTTGAGCTGTTTGTATATTTTGGATATTGATCCCTTGAGGGTCACATCATTTGTAAATATTTTCTCCCATTCAGTAGGTTGTTTTTTCATTTTGCTGATGGTTTCTTTGCTTTGCAAAAGCTTTTAAGTTTAATCAGGTCCCATTTGTTTGGTTTTGCTTTTATTTCTTTTGCCTTAGGAGACTGATTAAAGAAAATACTACTAAGATTTATGTCAGAGTGCTCCACCTGTATTCTCTTGTAGGAACTGTCTTTAACTTTTGACATTTTAACTGTAATGTGCCTTGATGTAGGTATGTTTAACTCTTTCAGATATTGCCGTAATATTTTCCGTAGCAGCTGTACTGTTTTACATTTCCAGCAGTGCACAATGGGTCTGTTTCTCCATATCCTAGCCATGTTGTTATTTTCTGTTTTTTGTTGATAATATCCATCTTGATGGTTGTGAAGTGGTATCTCTGTGGTTTGATTTGCATTTCCCCAATGATTAGTGAGGTTGAGCATCTTTTCATTTACTTACTGGCCATTGTGTGATGTCTATTCAAGTCTTTTGCTTATTTTAAATCAGATTTTCTGTTGCAGTTAACTGTAAGAGTTACAGTTTTATAGTTTTAGCCATTAAATTTAAGTCTTTGATCCATTTTGAGTTAATTTTAATATGTGGTATATGATAAGGGTCTATCTTTAAGGCTTCCATTTTAATCAAATGATTACAAACTAGAAGTGAATAAAATGTGGAGTTTACTAGTTTGTTAGAAACATAGTGAAGTCTAGGACATGGTTGAGACTCTGGCTTTATACTGTTGACATTGCCAAATGTTTTGGAAGCTGAAAGCAGTTGGAGTTGTTAGACATTTTCAGTGAACCAGGAAAATGGGTAGAGCACCTGGTCACTTTCTCTAGGCCTCATTAGAAAATTACAGCATTTATGCAGATTCTTAATTGGATTTGTCACTCATATTTTTTATTTTTCTGACTGTCAGACTAGCTATTATGTGTATATTCTTTTCAATTTGAATATGTTCATAAGAATTGACTTTGAATGTACAGTAATGATAGCTGTAAATTGAAATATTGTTTGAGTTTCCTTGTGGAGAGAAAAATAAATTATACTCATTATCAGAGAAAAAAATCAGAAGTGAAACATCAATGAAATTTCATACCAGCTGTAACTTTTTACCTTTCCTCAGGGATTGAGGAATGATCTGAAAGCAGCTTTGGATAAGATTGATCAGCAGTACCTCAATGAACTTGTGGGTGGCCAAGAGCCTGGAGAGGAAGACACCCAGAATGATTTGAAAGTTCATGAAGAAAACACCACAATTGAAGAATTAGAGGTGATCCCTCACCACCTTCCTCACTCCCCCACCCCACCTTTCATTCCCTGGAGCCGATGGTTGAGCTCATTAGACTTTTCAGTTCACAGCACCCTGGCATCTTTGATTGTTACAAAGGCCCTTCTTCTATTTCATGCCTGTTGTTTGTTCACTCCCTTTTTTCTCATTTTCTACACACATTCCCCTCCTTCCTGCCTTCAAAAGTATTCATTCTGATATGTTCGATGTGCATCCTTTTATTTATTGATTGTCTTGTAAAACCAGTAATGTTTTGTATGCATGTGCTTCGGTATACATAAATGATACTTTATTGTGAAATTCCTCATTCTGTTTTTTATTTTCAAGTTCCATCCTTGATATTCCATGTCATCTAAACTTTTGATTTTAATTGTTATAGTATTTTATACAGTGTGACTTTTAGTGCTTTTTAATAATAGCACGATTATTTAATAATAGCACAATTGCACCCTTCTTCCTGTTACCACAGTTTTGTGACAGGCAGTCTTGTACATGACCCCTCTGGACCGGAAGCAAGATTGCTTCTTAACTTGTCTGAATACTGCCAGGTTGCTCTTTGGAATGGGTGTACCAGTCTCTACTCTCTGCCGTCAGCAGTGTATCTGTACATCCCTGCCAACACTTGGCAATATCTTGCTTTCTTATTTTTGCCAGTGTATTGAATGTGGAATGATATATGTAATATTACTTGAAATAATTTTGAATTCTCTGTCTAGCGTGAGCAAAAATAATGACTTAAATTTCTTAATAATTGCAAAGTCATTTTTCTGTTACCTTTCATTCCTTGCTCTTAACCCATGTTGGCTTCTGTAAGTGAGATTATAGTTGAGGTTATTGTTTGTTTTTTTTTAGATTTTCCCCCTTTTTATTTATCTTTTAATATATATTTATTTTTAATTGATTGCTTTACAATGTTGGTTTGATTTCTGCCATACATCAACATGAATTAGGCTTAGGTGGACATATGTGAGGTGGTTGTTTTATTTGTACTCCCACCCCCTGAATTTTACTGAAATAATAATTTTACTGAAATAAAACTGGTGAACAAACCAGTTCTGGGCATTTTAAACAACTTTGGAGATAGTCACATACTATGCAATTAATCCTTTTAATGTGTACAATTCAGTGGTTTTTAATATATTCACAAGTTCGTACAACCATCATCACAGTCTAATTTTAGAGCATTTTTATTCCCCTAGAGAGAAACCTCACATTTATTAGCAGTCACTCCCTTTAGATTCATAAACAATAACATGCTGTCTAAATTTAAATGTCAAATTGATATTTTTAATCTATCTAGAAATTCTGTCAGGCTTTAAATCAAAATTGGACTGTACATGTAATAAAGGACTACGTTTGGACTGATGTTAATAGCATATATATTCAGCTGTTGCTCCTGACTAATGAACAGAAACATCCCTTCTTTTCAGGCGCTGGGAGAGTCTTTGGGAAAAGGTGATGATCATAAAGACATGGACATCATTACCAAATTCCTTAAGGTATGTGCTTTTTGGCTAGGAACGGAGGATGTTTTCTTTAGATAAGAATTGGTCTTACTTTTTTTTTTGGTCTTACAGTTCTGAATTGTTTTAAGAGTTAAAGACTGGAAAGGCAGACTCTCATTAAACATTTCTGCATGTGTAGTGTTTATATTGTTGGTATGTGTTTGGATATAGAGGTTAAACAGAAAATGTATATTTACTTTCTTCATGGCACTTGTAAAGCTGACTTATTATTGTAAACACACAGAAAAGAATCAGAGCAGTAGAATGAACAAGAAGTTTTAAGGATTAAAAAATTTTTTTAAACATCCTGGGGAAGAGTGTAATAAGGAGAGGATTCCAGAAGCTTCTCTGAGAGATGACATAAGGAAAAAGTGGCAAGACATTGGTAGTGAAAAAAGCAAACACTTGGGTAACCTTTCACAGAATTATCAGTAGCTCCTGTCTTTCTTCCCAGCTTTTCTCTCTTCAGTGGTTTAAGGAGAGTATGTGCAAACCCCAGATTCCTTTTAACATTTCTTCACGAATTATCAATATTTATATTCAGACCAAGAGATTTAAATGCAAGAAATGCTTTTACTTGTATTTACAGTTTAAATACAACATAATCGGTCATCAAGATTCTTAACCCACAGAGGATTTTGCATGGAATTAGCGAGGGTATGGGATCTAGTATAAACTAGAATTTCCTCTGAGTGATGGCCTCTCCCGATAGTACTTGCATAGGTAGCACCACTAGGGGAATATGGCCTCCTCAGCCTTCACTGTTTAGCTGCCTCCAGAAAGGGCACTCTTTGTGTAGTTAAATTCAAAGAGCACCTGGGTAGTTTTCTAGGGTGGTACGGGGGCTGGTCATAGTTTCTTGTATTTTCGTTCCTTTTTTCCTTCCTTCTTTGGTCAAGTGTTTTAGAGGGAATTTTTAATTGAATTGTGGTCTCTACTGTAAAAGTACAAAGTCCAAATACAGCATCATCATCCTTGGAAAATTGATTAAATATCATAGCACATGGCATTATGGCTGATGAGTCTAGGCAGGTTGAATTTTATGTAATGGAAATACTAGTAAAAGTTTATTTCTATCAAACGGTTACCTGTGAAACTTCTTCCTATTTCATCCCAGGAACTTGGGGCACAGAGTTTCTGGCCTGAAAAAGGAACTTTTTCGTATTTCAGCCAGGGGTTCTTTTTAGGGGGGAAATGGATCACACTTGAACTAGGAATATGTGTAGAATAGGGAGGTTTGTGATTTGCAAAAGCACTGCTTTAAAACATCTATCAGTTACTAAGCAGAAATAGTTCATTAAAACATCAGCAACTAATATTAATCAGTTAAGACATTTACTCTGAGGATGAATGTATACTGTTTTGTGCATCAAAGAACTTTCATGCTTATGAAACCACTGGGTGGCATTGTAGTCTAAATTTACCCTTTCTTTCCACAGTTTCTTCTTGGTGTTTGGGCTAAAGAGCTGAATGCCAGAGAGGATTATGTAAAGCGCAGTGTGCAGGGTAAACTGAACAGTGCTACTCAAAAACAGACTGAGTCCTATCTCAGACCCCTCTTCAGAAAGCTACGGAAAAGGGTGAGGTTTCTCAAAAAATGCTCTCATTAACTGATTTTTTAAAAATAGAATATATAAAGTTAGGAAAAATGTGATTTGTAACTACATACTGAGCTTCCATAATTATTTTTTTTCCTTTTCCAGAACCTTCCTGCTGATATTAAAGAATCCATAACAGATATTATTAAATTCATGTTACAGAGGGAATACGTGAAGGTACATTACCATGCTGTGCATCAAAATTATGAGTGTATCTAGATTGTGTGCGTAATGAGTTCATCTCATGTGGGGGTATTATAATAGCAGATTTAAGAATGTGGAAAAAATTTTTAAAAACTTTGCATTTTATAATTTATTATTAGATATTAATGAATATTGTTAGGTGTGAATAAATAAAAAAATTTTTAGACCACATTTTATTTTTTAGTCATTTTGAAGGAAGGTATAAAGATTCTGCAGAGCACAGATTGGATATAGGCAGTGTTCCTTTCATGAATGGGACTGAATTTCTAAGTTTATAGATGGTTGATTATGGCTTGGAACAAATTGTCCCATAGAAGCAATGTTATTAGATCAGTTTCTCAGGCCAGCTGTAAAAGCCTACTTAATCTATCATATAGCTAAACTGTTGAACTAATGATTCCATGGAACTTAACCACCTTTATGCTGGTTTCTCTGAGAAAATGTTCCAGGTCAGGCTGCCAGAATTCCTTGCTCCCTTTTCAGGACTGTTGCTTACGAAGGGTGATCCCCTTGAGATGGATGGATAAGGTCACCATCACTGCAGAGAGAATTCAGGTCACTTGTCTGTGCAAGCCCATGGCTTCTCCTTGGTACTTTTTTCATTCTCATATATTATCTGAGAAGCTGGTAAAGTTTATTTTATATAAAATACAGACAGAACTAAAACTTGGACAGTTTTCGTTGAAAATTGGGGGAAACCAAATATTGGAAATTTTATCAGTTAATATCCAGAGATTTCTCATGCACAAGTATCAGTGATAAAAAATGTGTATATGCCCTTCTAAAATTCTACATTATCAATCTCATAGGTGTTTGATTTTTAAAATTGAAATCTCTTTGAGTCCTGGCTGTATAAGCCTCTCTGACACCATTGGGTCTTCTAGAATTTACTTGCTTTCTGTTTTGTATTTTTCCTTCTTTCCCTCCACGAGCAGCCACGCTTGGTTTAGAAACAGCCGTTTGTCTTCATTGCTTTCTGTCTTCTCATTTTGTAGCCTTGAAATTTTTAAAATATAATTTTATTTATTCGTTGGCTGTGCTGGGTCGTCATTGCTGCACAGGCTCTGTCTGCGTGCAGTGAGCGGGGGCTGCTCTCTAGCTGGGGCTTGCAGGCTTGTCACTGTGGTGGCCTCTCTTGCCGAGCGTGGGCTCTGGGCCTGTGGGCTTCAGTAGCTGCGGCTCCCGGCTCTGGAGCACAGGCTCAGCAGTTATGGTGCACGGGCTTAGTCGCTCCACGGCACGTGGGCTCTTCTTGGACCAGGGATCGAACCCGTGTCTGCTGCATTGGGAGGTGGATTCTTTGCCACTGAGCCACCAGGGGAACTGTAGCTTTTATTTTTAAGATTCTCGGCAGGTGGGAGGTTTCGGGGGGGCCAAAGTGAAACGATCTCATCCTTGAGCTATTTGAGGGCCAGTTTTTAATCTGTTTACATATCTGCTTTGGGACCAATGTGATGGTCCCAGCACACAGAGCCCACACTGCTTTCAGAGGTCCACACTGCTGTGTGGGGAGAGGCTGTAGCCTCAGGTGGGATTATGAGAAACTAGTTAGCCGCTGTCTTCCCTGTGACCGCCTATGGAGGAGACAGGGCCTAACAGAGACTCAGACTGGAGTCTATCAGTGCATCAGGTTTCCTGCCTAGTACTTCTAGAGCTGAGCTGCATTAAAATTTAGTGCCTGACGGCTGCAAGGAATGTTTGTCTTTTTACTCATTGGGTTAGTTAGTGTTGATTTCTGTTTCTCCACAGATATTTGTGGTCCTGGGCAAGCAATCAGTCACCCCTGTTTTAATTTCTTTTGTTTGAATAATGGGAATAGTAATATTTTCAACATGCCTAAAAAATGGATGAAAATTACATCATGTAGGGCTGTGAAATACTTTAAATGAAAAATTTGGATGAACATAATATTTCTGCCTTTCTTATCTCTACTTAAACTTTCTCTTTAGGCTAATGATGCCTATCTCCAGATGGCCATTGGAAACGCCCCTTGGCCCATTGGTGTCACTATGGTTGGCATCCATGCCAGAACTGGCAGGGAAAAGATTTTTTCCAAGCATGTTGCACATGTTTTAAACGATGAGACACAGCGGAAATATATTCAGGTAAGTAGTTTGGAGGGCAAAGTGCTCTGGAGGTTAACATTCCCCACTTCTCAAACTGAGTTTGGAGAGAAGGAGAATTACAGCACTAGGATATAGCATGACAGGGTGCAAGTCCACGCTTTGTATAAGTAGTGCTTATATTTAAGACACCTTCACTGAACTGTAAAACAGAAACCTTTTAAGTGTCTTAAATGATGTAAGACAGAGTCAAGTGTTGTGCTTTAATTACCTTAGTAGTGAAATAAAGCTATTACTCTTTGCTTTGGGAATTTACTGAAAAATGATGAATTTAGAGTATTTTGCAATAAGTCACAATTTTGTTATTTTCAAGGTAGGTTTAACATCTAGACTAAAAAGGTATGAATAGTCAAAATTTGGCTAGTAGCATTTTTTAAATAATTTATAACAACACTTCTCTATACAAATAGATTTAAAGTATTTATAGGTTACTTTCTTAAAGTTATTGTGCCTCACATAAACCTGATAATAATGCTGTTGGGTTAAACTTTTGTTTTCAGTGGGGGGGAAAACCTCAGTTATAACCTAGCTTTTGCCAAGTTATCAACAATCCCAGGTTGTGTCTGTATAATGACTTTTGCTGGATGTTAACTCTGAAGCTTGAAGATGAAACTCAAAGTTTATTTAAAGTATAAGATTCACTTAAAATGCATAACATGTTTTCAGAATTTGTGCTGGACAACAGTCACTATCATATTCATGCATTACCATTTTATTTCATTTCAGTTCCAAGTGCTAAAGGTTATTTTGCATGTCATGCTTTGTGCCTTATTCATATGTACTAACATTTTAAAATAGGATTTCAACTTGACCCCCTAATGAGAATGGTAGAATTTTAGAGTTCAGGTATAGTTGTGGAAATCAAAGACATTTCCATTTTTTAAATAACCATCATTGACTGTATTGAAGGCAAAAAGCTTTTAGTTGGGGGAAGAAGTGGTTTGGCTTTAACGGTAGAACATTGTTTCCAGTGATTAAATTTACTGATTGTCTTCAGCTCTACCATGGCCAAAACTCTAGTGTGTATGAAAGTTCATTTTGTGTGTGTGGGGGGGGCACACGCTCAGTCTTGTCTGACCCTTTTTTGCAACCCAATGGACTGTAGCCTACCAGGCTCCCCTGTCCATGGAGTTTTCCAGGCAGGAATACTGGAGTGGGTTGCCATTTCCTCCTGCAGGGGATCTTTCTGACCCAGAGATGGAACCTGAGTCTCCTGCAGCAGCAGGCACATTCTTTTCCGCTGAGCCACCTTTGGGAAGCCCTGTCTTAAAGACAGCATGCCTTTTTTAAATAGTGGTTTGATTACCATCTTATAAACTGTTTTTTCTTTTTTAAAATATGCCTAGTATTTTAAAGATTTCTGGTTTATTTTGGAATAGTATTTATTATTATAGCTATACTGTGACTTCCCTCCATTGTTCTTCGTTTTTGTAAAAAAAAAAAAATTATTTTTGGCTGTGCTGGTTTTTGCTGTGCTTGTGGAGTGCAGGGGCTGCTCTCTGGTTGTGATGTGTGGGCTTCTCATTGCAGTGGCTTCTCTTGTTGTGAGCTTGGACTCCAGGGCACAGGCTCTAGTTGTGGCGCATGGGCTTCGTTGCTCTGCAGCATGTGGAATCTTTCTGGATCAGGGATTGAGCCTGTGTCTCCTGCTTTGCAGGCGGATTTGCCACCTCTGAATCACCAGGGAAACCCCAGTGTTCTTTCTTTGTAGCTTTTCTCCTTCCATTCTTTTTTCCCCAAGGTGATTAGGGAATACTGGTGAACATACTGTATCTGAACTTTAGGACAGTGTTTGACCTAAACATAATAATATTCTTGTGTACAGATGTAAATATAAGATAACCAGGTAGACTCAGCCTGTTGAGACAGAAGCCGTGAGGACTGAGTGACGAATCCATGTCTGTCTGGGTGGATGCTGGTGAAATGCCATGGGGTTCTTAGTGACCTCAGCACTCTCCTGTCCAACAGTCTTCATGACCAACTTTGATGACTCTGCCAAGAGGTATATTTGTCAGATTTACAGACAGTAAGAAACAGAAGGGATAGGGTGTACATTCAGATGGAGAGGAAATTTGTGTTCTGGAAGTTCTTGACAGACTGAAGAAAAAGGCTGACTCTAAAAAATTAATACTCATCTTATTCTAAAAGATAATGATGACCATAAAGAAATTTGAAACTCAGTTGCTTGAGCAGTTTGAGCAGTGTATATCTGGTAGAATTAGGGAATTTGGTGGACTGTAAGTACAATAACAGTATTGTAGTATGGCTACTGGAACGAGAGCTTATGCTACGTTGTTAGAGAGACATAATAATTTAATTTAGTGTACGTTCCACAAGGCAGGAGCATAGCTCACTGATGTGTCCTCAGAGTCTAGAAATAGTGCTTCTGGTGGGTGCTCAGTCAAGATTTGCCCATTGAATGAATACTCAGAGGCAAGAGAGGTGAAAGTCTGGCTTTTATTCTAGTCCTTGAGAAAGGAGACTCTTGTTGGGGGTCTGGGTAACTGTCGATAAAGAGAGAACTTTGTGGTGGAAGAGAGGTTAAATTTGTCGGCTATACAGTTAAGGCCCTGGTGACTCAATGGTAAAGATTCCACCTGCCAATGCAGGAAATGCTGGTTTGATCCCTGGGTCAGGAAGACCCGCTGGAGAAGGAAATGGCAACCCACTGCAGTATTCTTTCCTGGAGAATTCCATGCACAGAGGAGCCTGTGTCCTTGTGATCGCCAAGAGTTGGACATGACTTAGCGACTAAACAACAGCAGCAAGGTGTGGGAAGAAAGATGCATTTCTAATCAGTTTAAGGAAGAGATTCTTCCTTTTTTAGTCTTTTTGTCTTGAGACAATAGTAGACTGGTAAGAGGTTGCAAAAATTATACAAAGAATCTTTTTTTAACAGGCAGAATTGCCCCCAAATAGGAGTAGGGCTGCTTTAGAAGATACTGGGGTGATCCCTACCACTTGATATTTGAAAGAATCTGGTTAACTATTACCCTTTTCTGGTCTGTTGATATCTCTGGATCCTCTCTGCTGTTTTCCCTTGAGGCCATTGCTTAAACCTGAGGTTGCAAATTCACAGGATAGTCAGGTAACGAGTGAGCTGAGTGGTAAGAAGTCCCTGACCCTCGATCTGATTTGTATTTTCTTACTTTTCATGTAGACACAGAAGCAGTATTTCATTTTCCTGTCAGCTCTGTGATGAGAAAGGGGGACAGCTGATTAACAGTGTTGTTAGTTCCATTGTACTCCAATATAAAATAAAAATTTAAAACCGTGGCAGTGCAAGCACAGCACGAAGTGTCAGCTACATCTTAGCCTTAGCATCACTGGTGTCACCTCAGCTCATTGTTACTTCGTAGGAATATTTTTCTAATGTCGCTCCATCTTCTTTTATTTTTTAATGAGATGCCAGAATCCTTAATTTTTTAAAAAAGCATATGCTCCTATTTTTAAAATACTGGCAATAACAAAAACAAAAAATTAGCAGTTTGTGAGGCCAAATTAAGTGCTAGGTTTTGATCTGTCTTAAACCCATGGTGCAGCTCAAGGCAAAATGCTGCCACCCCCATGTTAGCATTTTCTGAAATTCTTGATTACAGTTAACTGACTGATTTACTAAGCTGTCTTTTGAATCTCTCTCCTCTTATTTTGGTATTCGGGTGAAACAGATTTGAAATATTCCTACAAAGGGACTGTTTAAATATATGAATTGAAGTTGAAGTCAGGGAGTGACCCACTTTTTCTTAAAGGGTCAGATAGTAAATACTTTATGCTTTGCACTTCATAGGTTTCTGCTACAACTCTCCAACTATGTGAAAGCAGCCAGTGGCTGTGTTCCAGTGAAATTCCGTGTATAAAAGGGATGAGCAGCCTGGAGGCCGTAGTTTGTTGACCTGGTAGTCAATGTGTAAACCCAAACCTTTTCATCATTAAGATATTTGCTGAGGAGGTAACTGTGAAAGTCACTTAATAGGGTATTTTCTTTCTAAATTAAGATATAGTAAACCTCTCTAAGTAGTGAAACATGTAAAGTGTACTGATCTTAATTGTACAGCTCAGTGAGTCTTCGTGTATGTGTGATTTTGTATCCAGATGTAAAACACGGTCTGGATAACAGGAGGTTTCTAGCAGCATCACTGAAGTTTCCCTCATTCTGTTCTGAGCCTAAGTCCTCTTCCCGTCAGAAGTAACCATTATTTTGATGTGTGTCGTTATTGGCTAATATTGCCAGGTCTTGGGGCATCACTTAAATGAAATCTTGCAATGTATAGAAGAATTACTTTTTGTATAGAAATACTGGTAAGAAATAACTGTTTTCTGAAATACGGTGAAAATAATTCAAGGGGATCTTTACTGGGGCTTCCCTGGTGGCTCAGATGGTAAAGAATCTGCCTACAGTGTGGGAGACCTGGGTTCGACCCCTTGGTTGGGAAGATCCCCTAGAGAAGGGAGGGGCTACCCACTCCAGTATTTTGGCCTGGAAACAGTTCAAGGGGCTCTTTACCATAACATGATTTCATCTTTGGGTATTATGCAAACCTCTGTGGAATTTAAACTGTGAAAGTTGTTTGAAGTGTTCTCTTTCTCGCAAAAATTAAACACACCACAGGGAGGGTTTTCTCACCATGCAGATCAAAGAGAAGTTGGATAGCGTATTAGTTAACTGCAAATCTCAGATGAGATGGGACTGTTGGTAGGAACTTCAAGGACTTTGGTCGGTCTGCCAAATGCAGAGGTAACCTTTGGCCCAGATTTGGGTAAAGCTTCTCCACAGATTACAGGAAGCTCTTCATTAGTTAGTCTTGATAATTCAGTCATTTCCAGATATCTCTTGAAAAGGTTCATGTTGTGACGGTTCTTTACTTGTTGGTAAAGAAGAGCAGGACAAAAAGCTGAAATTGACCTCACATGGTGATTTGCCCTCCAGATCCAGTCCATCCTTCCTTACCTGGTCCTGTCCCTTGTGCCCTGGAAACCTGGCT